TCATGATGAAGCACGGTGGTGGCAGCATCATGATGTGGGATCTTCACAGCAGCAGCCTGGAAGGCTTGCAAAGCTAGAGGGTAAAATGGAAGCAGTAAAGTGTAGGGAAATCGTGGAGGACAACCTGATGCAGTCTGCAGGAGAACTGAGACTCGGAGAAGACTTGTTTTCTAGCGAGACATTTCTCAGCTAAAATCAAGGCAAATCAAATTTATTTACACATTTTTAAAAAAAATAATGTTTTGAGCTCAACAAAAATGTCTAATAAGATTATGTTCAACCAACGGACTACACTGAGTATACAGTACTTTATTATAATACAATATAATGTATAATCTAATATAATAACTCTGGGAGTTTCAATCAAAGTTTAAATATAACTTTGTTTTTTTCATGATTTATGGCTTAACGTTGTCATTTCTGAGTTCTCTCTCCTTCTCCGGGTTGTTCTGTTTCCATAGAGGTGTAACTTCATATTGCAGTAAAATAAAGAGCCACAGTGAAGAAAAACGTGAAGCTGCTTCAGGTTTACAGTTAAATCCATCCGCCCCATGATGCTGTAGAGTTCATGTCTCTGCAGTGCTTCCTCCACCGCTCTGTGCTGTAAACAGTCGTAGAAGCTCTAATGTTGTGATGCTGCGGTCAGACAACAACAAAACGAAATCTGGACGGTGCTCCCGAAGCGTGAAAGTAGTTCAGACGAATGAAACATTAGAATTCAATGAAGTGCAAAATAAAACAGAAGATAGAAAGTGCAGATGCAGCAGCGTTTGAGTGGTGGGTCTGGTATCAACACGGGTTTAGAACTGCCCAGTCAGCAGTCTGTCAGGGCTTCAGGTATGTACAGGTGTGTCTTCCTGGTCTCTGAGCCTCTGTGTTGTTCCAGCAGACAGGAGTCGCTCTGAGAAGCTGCTGTCGCTGCGAAGGAGCCCGTCGCCCCACCGAGGGTCCCCCCTGCCGTCGCCCCAGGTGGTCTTCCTGAAGGACATCGTGTGCTACCTGTCGCTGCTGGAGAGGGGCACACCTGAGGACAAGCTGGAGTGTGAGTCCTGGGCAGGTGTGGTTGTGGCCCAGAGGCCTGGTCGTGAAGCAGGTCCACCTCTGGGCCGGATGCTGGGTTGCCGTGGTAACGAAGCCTCAAAGCTGATGATTGGCTTGAATTGTGATTCTACGTTTGGTCTTTATTTGCTCCTAAAGCTGAAAGAATTAAAGTAAAACTGTCTGACAACCATAAGATTAGACCTAATGTGAGATTTACTGAATTCATCGTCACATCACCAAGAAAATAGTTAGATTCATATCATTTGTCTTTAATAAAAGGAAAACATCTGTAATTTCATGGAGTCTTGTGGTGATGATGATGATAATTAAACTCTAGAATCATGAGTAATTAACCTCCATCAGAGCAACGTGCAACCAGAAGGATGTGATGTTAATGAGAATAATTATTACAATTTAGTTTTGTTGTTTTTCTTTCTTTTCTTTTCTTTTTTTTAATGTTTCCTTTGTGCTGGTTTTTATGAAGTGATGAGAGGCCAAATTACAAAAATAAATCAGTAAAAGAATCATGAAACAAAAGTGGAAATAAAAAGAAGAATAAATAAAATAAATAATGTGGCAATATAAAGCAATATCAATAAAAAATGAATGTATAAAAGAAAAGGCCAATAAAAGTAGAAGTACAAAGACAAACAAATGAACAAAATAGCAAAAATAATAATTCATTCTTAAATTTTTTGTATTGTTTTTATTTTTAAAATGTATTTTTAGTTATTTTTTAATCATTATTATTTATTTTTTGTATTTTATTTTTATTTTTATTTATTTTTTATATTTTGGTAATTATTTTTATTTTCAAAATATTTTTTAAAATTTAAATTTTTTTTAAATTAATTTTTTATAATGCCGCTTTAAAAGCAAAGGAAATATGCGCACAACGACATTCCTACTGCGCACATTTTTCTGCGCATATGTCCTTTGCTTTGACAGCGACATTATTAAAAGATAAATAAAAAGTTAAAATTAAAAAATAATATAAAATAAAAAATACATTTAAAAAATCATAATAAATGAATTTAAAAAATAATTAAAAAATAAACTCTTATTATTTTTCAGTATTTTATTTATTTGTCTTTATATTTCTACTTCTATTAACCTTTTGATTAATATCACTTTGCATTGCCACATTATTTATTTTTTTTAATTTTATTTGTTCTTCTTTTTATTTCCACTTTTATTTTATTACTCTTTTTTTGATTTATTTTTGTAATTTGGCGCTCTCATTACTCCGTAGACTGTGGCCTGTATTACATTTTAAGATTCTTAAACTAACTTTTTAATGTGACTTTTTCTTTATGTTTTTGTTTGTGTAGTAACTTGTAAGAAATTTAAATGAATTTTTAGAGTTTGCCCAGAATATCTGATCAACTCTAATGTTTGGGCTCAAAACCCCGACACAGGACCAGAACCAGAAACTGTACAAACATTTTTTATAAAAAGGTTGATTTTTAACCTTCAGGAAGTTCTTCAGCATATTGTGTCTAACATGTGGTTCTATCAGGAATAAATCCATAAACAAATCTAAGATCAAACTGTGATGTTTAATCAAAATGTCAAATCAAAATTCTGTCAAATTTAAAATAAAATAAAAAGCATTTTAAAAAGCTAACTGAAAAATAAAAAATATATAAGATTTGGGGAAAAAAAATGTTCAAAAAATAGCCATAATTTCACACACAAAAAAATAAAAGAGTAAAAGGTGTGTTCTGTTCCTGGTGTTGTTCTGTCACCAGGTTCTCCGTCACTCAGCAGGTCAGTGACGCTAATCTGCTCTAATTGACTGTTTCAGTATCGGGCTCCGTTAGCTCGTTCTCACTGAGATAATCTGGGCCCAGAACGTTCCGCTTTTAACCAGCTGGACTCGGTCCAGGAACCTTCACGCTAACCAGTCACCATCGGATCTGTGTTCTCCTGTTTCCCTGCAGTCATGTTCCGGCTCTACGACACCGACGGCAACGGGGTTCTGGACAGCTCGGTGGGTTCCACGTCTCTGTTCCCTCCACGCTCTGTCTATGTTCTCTCTATGTTCCCTCCATGTTCTGTCTCTGTGTCCCCTCTGTTGTCTCTGTGTTCTCTTTATGTTCTCTCTATGTTCTGTCTCTTTGTTCCCTCTGTTCTTTATGTACTCTGTATGTTTTCTGTGTGTTCTCTACATGTTCTCTACATGTTCTCTCTATGTTCTCTCCATGTTCTATCTCCATGTTCTCTGTCTCTGTTCTCTGGGTTCTCTTTGTTCTGAATGTTGTTTACGTCTGTAGAGGTTCAGTTTAGTGTCAGACGTGCTGAAGTAAACAGAGCCATAGGTTCTCTATGAAGGAGAGCTCAGAGAACATTTATTATTTTTATGTTCTGAGGACGTTCTGCAAATGTTCTACTAATATTTTAAATGTTCTGCCTTCAATACATCACATTAGTGGAACGTTATGAAATGTTCTGTAGAAATAAGATTCAGTCATCTGAGGCTGAACATCTGGAAAACGTTTTTTATAGATTTGTTTGAAAATGTTCTTCCTTTGTTACTATGAAACATTGTGGGAACATTTGATCGGTTCTATAACGTGTTCCCTCAACAACATCCTCAGAACAGTGCAGGGAAAAGGTTCCACCTTTGTTCATGTGTATAAAATTACAGAAATATTTTCTAAACATTTTTTAAATGTTGGTTTGAGAACGTTCTGTCTTTGTTATCATAGAACATCACGTGTTCCTGAGAACGTTCTCTAAATGTTGACAGTAAGACATGATGTTAACTTTATAGGAACATTACCGGAAATGAAAACGTTCTTTGAACATTTGATTCAAACATTGTCTTTAGAACCGTATTAGAATGTGTAGGTTATGTAGAACGTTGCAGGAACGTTCTCTGCAGCTGCACGTTGATCCAGAAGCCAGTTGACGTTCTTCTCTCCGGTTCTGCAGGAACTCGACCGTATCATCAACCAGATGGTCCATGTCGCAGAGTACCTGGAGTGGGATTCTACAGAACTACGACCGGTGAGCAACCACAACCAGAACCAGAACCAGGGCCTCGGACAAGGTTCTGTCTGGATTTAGCTTTAATAAAGAGAAAAGAACAACAAGGAGGGAATAAATACAGAATCTGGCGTCGTTCTACGTACGCTTCATGAAGCTGGATAGAACCCAGAACCAGAACCAGCCGACGGTTCAAAGGAACAAAATCACAGAAATCAGCCAGAACCTGTAGAACTTTCATCGTTTTAATGATCCCTGAAACAAACATGAATAATCTGGTCTCTGCATCTGACTCAGATGTTTCACTTTATTCTACTGGAGCCGTTCTGTTCGGTTCTGTAGAAACCCGAACACCTCACAGTTCAACTTCTGATGACGTCACGTTTTCACTTCAGGAAAGCGCAATTTTATTATTAATAGTGATATAATATTAAAGTTTATTTATCATGTAAACGAGTTTTAAAATGTGTGGATTTAGTTTAAAATGGAGCAAAAACAAAAGAATCAAACAGATTTTAACTCAGCAGCCATGAACAGAACCGGACCTGAAATTAAACCTAAAGCAGCATTTCTCAGACAGTCTCTTGGAACAAATCCTCAGAAGTGGATTTTCTGGTTCATTAGAACTTCTCCAGCATGTTTAATGAAACGTGGCTCTGCCTGATGTGGTCCAGATCCTGAAGGAGATGATGGAGGAGATCGACTTCGACCGGGACGGAACGGTGACTCTGGAGGAGTGGATCCGAGGAGGCCTCACCACCATCCCTCTGCTGGTGCTGCTGGGGATGGACACGGTGCGTAGAACCACCGGCCGGCTGCCGGTCCTCAGTCCGCTGGTCGCCTGGTTCTCTGTTTTAAAAGTTTGTCTCAGAAATGTAGAACTTTTTATCCAGATCAGGCTGAGTTTGTGCTGCAGGACTGTTTAGAAATGAATGTGCTGAAGTGAAAGATGAACCAGAACAAACATGTGAACATCAGATTTTTAGTCCTGCTGTTTCCTGAACTAATTAGATTTTGACTCGTTGCAGTCACACGGCTTCAGGTTGGATTAACTCACTGCTGTATGTTTGTTACTGAGGTCACAGCGACACCAGGGGGTAAATGAGGAACACTTTTAAATACAAACACGTATTTAAACAGTCGTCGCATCAGTAACCAGAGAAGTCCAGGGGACCCCTTCATCTGCTGACACCGACTAATTTAATGATGAACACCAGGTTCCTGAAATCTAAATTCAACATCAGTGCTGCTGCTCAGCTGGAGCTGATGTAGAGCAGCAGCTTTATCACGTCTGTCGGTGTTTACTGTCGCCTCTGAGCTGCAGAGCGTCGCTGATGTTGCTGCTTCTGAACGTTAGCTCTCTGTTAGCATCTTAGCTTAGCATTAGTCTCAGGTAGCTAAAGCAGACAGCTCAGTGCTGCAGAGTTCATCACCACGTCAGACAGCCGCGAGGTGCAGGACCAACCAGGAACTGCAGCTCCTCTATGACGCATTCACTGACCTTTTTGGTTAATCGGTTAAAGTTGCTAATGGCAAACAATCAGTTAGTCTCCATAAATATTAATGTTGAGGAGCCTGATGCTTCATCGTTAATATGACCGTCTGCTCTTAAATTCAATCCTAATTATTCGTTATTTTCAGTCTTATTCAGCTACAGATGGATGTTCTGTTTGTAGGGTTCTAATGACTGTTGTTCTGACATGAACACTGTGGGGTCTGAACCCACGTCTAAACTTGTTAGATGAACATCTTAAGCACTTGTTTTACATTTTAAAGGTGCAGCAGCCCACCGCCCATCCCACCATCACAACAATGAGCACAACATAGAGTCATCTGAGAAGACTGGAGCTGTAGAAGCTTCATCAGAGTAGAATCAGGAACCGAGGCCTGGTGCTGCTCAGACGGTTCAGGTTCCCGCCCCACTGACCCGCAGTGTGTTCTGTGTTCTCCTGTGGTTCCTGCAGAACGTCCAGGAGGACGGGCAGCACGTCTGGCGTCTGAAGCACTTCAACAAACCGGCCTTCTGCAACTACTGCCACACCATGCTGCTGGGAGTCCGCAAGCAGGGCCTCTGCTGCTCGGGTCAGTCCAGAACCGCCTGCAGAACAGAACCCAGCGTCTGTTGTCACAAACACAACCAAATTCAGCAGGAAAAAAAACCTGCAGAGTCCTTCAGCTGCGAGGGTCTGCAGGTCAGGAGGTTTAAATGGCGTCCATGGAGAATGAAAACGGGTCGACTCGGACTCGAAGCTGATGCTAAAACCCAAAAAGATGTGGAGTAATAATAATGAGGGGCTTCGTGTGAGGAGCGGTTCAGATCAGCTGAAGCTCCGTTTGTTTCTCAGTGAACTCTCAGCCGTCGTCAAACAGCCGTCATGATCCATTAGCTTTAATCTGATTATTGGTTGAATCCTTCAGCTCTCATTCTGATGTCATCAGAGTTCATTAAAGTCTCTGACGAACATGTTTTCACTCGTTAAGCTCAGAGGTCACGTCAGAGTTCAGCTGTTTGAGTTTATTTCCTTCATATTTACTCACATCTACAGAAAATCTAAACTGGTATTAAAACGTTCTGCAGTGTTTCTGCCGAATGTGACGAGTTTCTAAACGAGCCGATGAATCGCTGAGCTAAAGGAAACGTTGGTCAGACGCTCAGGTTCACTGAGAAACACTGAATTAGATCTTTGTTCTGTTCGTTCTCTTTGATCGTCCAGGTTCTCACATTGAAATATTTGTTTAATTTTCATCTTAACAAATATTTTTTGTCATTAATGAAATCAAACAAACAAACAAACAAACAAACAAACAAACGATCCAAACTACAAAAAATGTGTGTTTATGTAATAGAGTCCTACTTTTCTTCAGCTTTTCACGAGAAGCTACAAACATGAGATTTAGAGCTTTTTATTGACCAATAACATCACAGATAGGTTTATTATTTGTTGTCTCGTCTCCGTGGAAACAAGTCGCAGCGCCTGAATGTTTGTCTCATGACTGTTGGTCACAGCCGAGTCGTTAACGTCACAGCGGTTCTGTCCACAGTTGAGTTTGTCACAGAACTGTTTTGGTCCAAAGGATTTAATTCCTGTGAGTTTTGACATGTGTTCTGATGAAGGAGCAGAACTTTAAGCTTTGAATCTGGTTAATTTTGATAATTTTTTTCGGCTCTCATGGATTCTGGCTCTGACACGTGGAGGAGTTTTAGCGTTTTTTATTTAGAAATATTTTAATTTAGTTTAAAGCTTAAAGGTAGAAACATCATAGAACAACATATTCACAGACATCCAGGTGTGAAGGATGAACAGCTCAACAGATGACCCAAACATACAGATGGTGAACAACACAGATGCAGGAGGCTGTGTGCAAAATCAGAACTCAAGGGGCATCAGAGACTTTGGCCAGGTGGTGGCAAACTGAAAGTGAATGTGCCCAAGTAGACCAGGGGTGTCCAGTCCTGGTCCTGGAGGGCCACAGTCCTGCATGTTTTAGATGTGTCCCTCTTCCAACACACCTGATTCAATTCAGTTTTTATGGTTTCTGTGGTGCAGTTCTTTATCCTTCAGGACGACGTGCACATCAACCAGAGGCTCAGAGGGTTAAAAGGCCAGAAATCTAAAAAACAGTCCATGTCTGTGCAGATCCTCAGCCCTCCAGGTCAGGGTTGTTCTGGTAGATTAATCGCAGCAGCTGGACCTGCTTGAGTTCCTTGTAGATGTTCCACCTCTCATCCAAGAAGCTCCATCAGGTCTGTTGGGAGTTCCACATACTGATATCCTAAAGGAGCCATTAACACCTGAGTTTCAGTTTCAGTTGGAGGTTTGTTGCTCCTCCCCCTCGTTAGGGGTCTTGGAGGAACTCAAGTAAGTCCAGCTGCTACGATTAATCCACGAGAATGAAACCGTCCAGCGTTCCTGCAGTCTGTCACATAAAACGTTAAAGAGTTGTTTTTCTTCTCTCGTTGTTTCCGTCAGTCTGTAAGTACACCGTCCACGAGCGCTGCGTGTCCAAAGACATCGCCGCCTGCATCAGCACCTACGCCAAGTCACGCCGACACACCAACGTGAGTACCCACCAATCAGACGCTTTGATCCGCTGAAGTGCAGCAAAGCATCATGGGAAGGCGGGTTCTGTGTTTCAGGGCAGAACTGAACCTGTTCCTGCCCTTAAACATCTGGAGCTTCTCTCTGATTTACACTTTAAACTGCTTAAAACCAGCAGACTGAGATCATCTGACTGTTATTTAACGTAGAATTCAGGTTTGTTTTGTTTTAATGTGTTTCCAGAAGCTGTGAAAAAACTCCTAAAAGCCGTTTGTTTCCCGTCGAGCGTGAGCTGCTGCTTTAACGACACCATCAGGACGTCTCGTGTCTGATCGGGTTCCTGATTATTACAACTATCAGACGTCCACAGCCAACAAATGAAAGTCTTTTCTGACTCGTGTGTGAAGCCAACGCAGAAATTCACAAAGGAAAAGAAAAATAAAAAAACTAATTTGTTGTAATAAAAAAAAAGAAATTCAATATTAAACTTAATGAGCTTCAACGAAACACTGAGTCACGAATGAAATAAAAGATAATGATTTTAATTTGGTTTCTGATTTGCAAGAATCAAGATTAAATTGAGTTTTTAAGTGTTACATAAAAATCACGTGTATTGAACAGATCTGTAATTTACAGACAAACAAACGTAGAATTATCGTCACAATTACAACAATAATCTGTTTACTTGTAGCTTGATGTTAAAATCTTTTATGTTTATGGATTTTAATGTTAGAAAACTGATTATAATTACAATAATTAACTGTTAATTAGATTTTTTTTTACATGCAGCTTTACTGAAAAATATATTTATCAGATCCTACACGAGTCATATTCATGTAAACTCAGGCTACGTGTTGTTTTTATGTATTTAAAACATTTAAAATTGCAAAAAAAGAGAAAAAAACATTGAAGTTAAAGACATTTGACCCGTAGAGACGAAACACGTTTAGGTTGAAATAAACAGATTAAAACCTGGAAACACGAGTCGCTGCATGAAGCCAAACACAGACGAGGGTAGAAACGAGGTTCTAGCAACATTCTGGAGGCCAAAAGAGGAACATTTGCTCCGTGAATCTGTTTCTTGTCTCCAGATGAACCAACTTTTAATCACGTTTAAACCCGTTTCATGTCTTTGTGTCTTTAAAAGAGCAGATTTGTGTAAAACAGAACTTAAAGCTGTAAATGTAGACGTTAGCCGTGACTAACAGGATGAACTGCGTCCTTCAGGCCATGCAGCACGTCTGGATCGAGGGAAACTCTCCCACCAAATGCGACCGCTGCCACCGGAGCATCAAGTACTACCAGGGCCTGACGGGGCTGCACTGCGTCTGGTGTCAGATCACGGTGGGTCCAGGAGTCCGGCTCAGGTTCACAGAAACACCAGAACATGTTCAGGAGCAGACGGGAGGACCTGCAGGACCAGAAGAGACCAAGAACAAAATCTGAATTTAATGTTTATTCCTCTCTCTCTCTCTCTCTCTCTATATATATATATATATATATGTCTGTATATAGTCGAACACATTCACCGTTTAGTTCCAGAAAACCTGAACGAGTCAGAAAATGTTTCAGTCACCGCGGTCTGGATTTAATCATTTTGTTGTTGTTGTTGTTGTTCGTACAGATTACATATAATACAATCAAAAACATTTGTGACTAAAAAATATCAAAATATAGTCAGAAACAATTTAAAAGAAAACTTTATAGTCAGATAAACTACAGATGGATAGATGATAGACAGATTGATGGATTTGTAGGTCACCCGGCTGTAGCCAGCGTTCCCGTTCCCGTCCACTAGGTGTCGCTGCTGACTGACACTTGGTTCGACGTTTCAACATTCTCACTCGGTGTTGGACACCACAGATGGATGTAATCGGTGATCAATCCGTCCTGATCTCTGCTCTTTCTCTGCAGCTCCACAATAAGTGTGCGTCTCACGTGAAGGCCGAGTGCGACGGAGGAGCTCTGAGGGACCACACGCTGCTGCCCTCCTACATCTGCCCCGTGGTGCTGGTGAGCTCCAAATACACCCAATGCACCCATC